CCCACCAAGAGCCGGGGTCTGTCGGAGGTTTCTTCCGTTAAAGGGAGTTTTTCCTCCCCACTGTCACCAAGTGCTTGCTCAAGGGGGATTTGTTGGGTTTTCCCTATGTAATAATATTGATAACAGTAAGGTCTAGACCTTACTTTGTAAAGTGTCCTGAGATGACTTTTGTTGTGATTTGGCGCTATACAAATAAAATTTGATTTGATTTGATTTGATTTGATTTCAAGATGTGACTCGGTACTGGTCTATACAGCCGGGCAGTTGGAAAGGATGCTAAACATCTGGAGAAGTTAGGAGAACTGTTCCCTGTGCAGTAACAACTGTCTGACGGGTTACACTGCAAAACAGCAGTGATGAGAGTGCTGGTGTAAACATCTGGAAACTGCATTACATCTGCTTTTTCTGAACAACATAAGGAAGCAAATTTTAAAAAACGAAATCACGTTTAGGAATTTTGGTGAGTGAGTGAGTGATTTTTACAGATGCACACTCAGGTGGAATTCAATTAGGTCATCAAGCTAAAACTACTGCAACAGTCCTGCAACAAATCCTCCTTCATGAAGGTGCCAAGTTTGTGGAGCTGTTGACTTGTACTGCGTCATACTGACACGTGTTCACCCATAGGCTACGTAAAAGAAACAGGTCTGATGAGAGAATTTATCACGAGACTATTACTTTTCGATTGTGTAACTAATAAACTGATGAGTGTAGTCATCGAATGATCAACTTCAGGTCATCATTCTTCACAGATCTGAGTCTTTAACAGCAGTTGTTAACACTGGCTGAGTGTATCATTAACGAAGAGTTTAGTAATATGTCTACAATATGTGTACCCGACAACACGCACACACACACACACACACAGCTCACCTGCGCTGACAGTAACCGCCTCCACAAACTGCTCCCTCCAGGAGTGTGTGCCAATCACCAGCGCCAGGTTGGTCTTCTTAATGAGCTTGTCAACAGTGCTCTGCCAATCAGAAGCACAACACACTTGTTTAGCAGCTGACCTGCTGGTCGTGTGGGTCGGGGCCCGGAGGCAGGAAAATGTTTGTACTCAAATTTATTTTTATTTAAACCACAAGGTTCTAAATGAGAAAACTCAACAAAATCTGAGGCTGATGTTTGAAGACGCAAAACTGGTGGACAATACAATTTATGAGGTGTTCTCTACCTGCTGTACTCACTAAGTTCAGTTTATTCCTCATGAGCAGTACTACTACTACTACAGTAGGATCACTGTGGCCTTATCTTTGCTTCTCCGTTGAGCTCAACTTTTCCACTTTCAGCTATTTAATGTAACTTAGTGACTTATCTATTGTATGTCTGAGTGAATTTATGGGCTTTTGAAACACCTACTAATTTAACATTCCCTTGTTTTAATTATGTAAGAGTAATTAAAACTTATGGATTAGCAATGCAACATCCTTTTGTCAGTTGGACCTGTTGAGAATTGAGATTTATTGCTAGTAAACTAATTGCATTGCCTCGTAAAGCACAGATTGGTTGCTTTTATTTGCTTAAAATACACCTGAGCCCAACGCACATTTCATATATTTGGACTGCTTGCACAGGGGAATGCAGTGGTAGCCTTGTGTAGGCCACCAGACTTTGAATTTTGCATGCTTTGAGCAAGCTGCTTTATTGAGGGTAACTCACGCATTTTCAATAATTCAAACCCATATCAGACCAACTCACCGAGACGGTTAGGACCTAGGCTCACCAGTGTGAGAAACAGGTAAAGGCAGGCTAAGTACAGTAACATGGACAGACATGCACAGCTCACTCCTTTTGGTTGTTGGCTTTAGGAGAGAAATGTTCAAATATACTTGAAAAGGCCTGTAATTACATTTCATTTTGGATGCTCAGAGGTCTCTGCTATTCTGTTGCTTCGTAACATCAACAATCTCTTTCCAGTTACCTTCTACAAGAATGTGATTACATGCATGTCCACCACTTCATCCTGTTCTCTCTCTTTTTATTATTTCTAATAACATTAAAATGAGCTGGTTGGGTAGTAAACTTTAAAGCCGCTGTGGGCTTCCACCAGTAAGAGACCAGTGCTGAAATGAATCGGCAGGCACTGCCCACCCGCACTCTCCTTTTTCCCCAGCCACTGCCAACCTGCACTCTCCATTTTACAGTCTGCAGCTGCTAATACCCATTTACAAAACACAGAGAGGCTGCTGTTCTTCTAGAGGAAACCATGTATGGGAAATAATAAATAATAGACAGCACACCTTGAATTCATATGACTCCTCAATGACCACCTCCAGGCGGCTGTGCTCTCCCAGAATGGGCTTCCCCATCTCAGCTATCTTCCAGGCCTCCTCCTCTTCAGCGCTCAACTGACCCTCCGCCGCCTCTGTGGGACGACAGGAGAGAGGGGGAGGTGATGCGAGGGAAACAACAAGGACACCAACAGTGAGTGTAGCACGAAAACAAAATCTCACAGATGCTTCCAAGCTCTACCTCTATCAATAATGGATAATGAGTCAGCATTTTATTTGGAGTTACTCTACATTACTTGAGTCTGAAATATGCATCCCAGTCTGTTCGTGGGCATGTGTGTGTCACAGCGTGAGAGAGGGACATGAGAAGATGGCAGATGGAGGATATCGGTGTGTGTGAGGAAGCAGAAAAACAACACCACCCAGACACAAAGATCAGAGAGCTGGATCCAGAGCGAAGGAGAGCGGGTGCTTCTCTGATCACTGAGGTTCACAATTAAACAGAACATTAAACAATTAGCTCTAATTGTCCCGTCAGCTCATTAGATGATTAGATGCTGGTTAGATGTTTATTGTACTGAATGTGGCACAGTGTGAGGTGCGTCAAAATCTTGTGCCAAAACGTACAATAAAGCAGTTCAGATCATGTGATGGAAGCTGTAGTGAAAGGTTAGTGAAACAGAGCACAGCACTTTTCTCTCCATCTTTTAGCCTCTCAGTCCTGCTTTAGCTACGTCCAGTCCTCAGTCATATGTGGTCAAAACTGATCGGTTGCTTTGGATTCTGGTGGCTTCAGGTGGCAGCAAGATTGTTTTGTGAATTTGGAGACTCCAGCACACAAAACCCATGTGATGCCAGTGCCCTGTGCACAAAACACACAGCAATAAATCTCATTTCCTCCGTCTGCTATGCTCAGGTGCTGCTGTTTGGAGAAAATGTAGTTTTTTGATTTATTTGTATTAAATTCTTTCCCAGTGAAACATTTTCAGTAGAACATAAGGTTTCACCATTTAAAAATGACCCCATCCCAGACTCAGTTTAACTCATTCTGTCCTCTGCTCTCCCCCATTTTGTCTTCAGTCCAATAACAATTTTCATATAAACAAATTAATCAAATTTATAAGCCTTCCCATTTACTCACTCTTTTACCTCCCACACATAAGCAATATGATGCCAAATTATAATATGATAGATGTGACAGAGCACAGTGATGCTACTCCTATAAGTCACCCCAGTTATTTGTCCAGGAAGGGCAACAAGCGCGGCGGTTTATCTGCATCAGCACACAGTGCACAAAACAAAGCGAAGAGTGGCCAACTCATTTGTAAACATTAATTTCCAAACTGCTCTACTGTGTTGTGCTGAGGTTCGCCGAGGCCAGTTCTGCTGTGATTCAGATGGAAGAAGAAGTGGCCATCACTCCTCAAGGCAAGGCAAAAAGAGATGCCAGAAATGTGAGCCAGGCCATTGCAAGGTGGCACAGAGCAGAGAAAAACGACTGCAGCCGAAGGACACTGTGGAAACTTATAATGAATTATTGTTTATATTCAAGTTTGGCAAAATCTAAAATACAAAAGGTATTTTTCATAAAGAGTGTGTTCATGAATTCACTTCTGTTTTTAATGGAAGCTTAACATGAATATGACTTTTTAAGATTTTTGTAAACTAAAAAAAGCTGCTTTAAAGGTGTATTAAGTAAGATTTTGGACATGATCTGCTAACCCCAGTGACAATGGGACAAGACGTGGTGTCTCTTGGCCCTCAGTGGCAGTTTGCTGCATCTGAAAAAAAATTAGTTAATACACCTTTAGTTTCATTTCAGCGTCACCAAATTCCCAGAACTCTGCTATTATTACACTGTTACTACTATAACTGGCAAGTATCAGGGGAGCAATTTGAGGCTGAGTGTTGTGAAAATATGGACAGGATCTGGGGATCAAACCACCACACCAGTGATCAGTGGATGGCCCGCTCTGCTTCCTGAGCCACAGCTGCCCCCTGCTGCTGCACAAAATGAGAAAGTAAACTTAGCAGCTTCTCCCTGGTTATTTACAGACTCGAAACAAATAAACAAACAAAACTCATGGAAAAAACAGCACGATATCAACTATAGGTTTGTGTAATTTTCAATCTGTTGTGCAAGTTAAGTGGCCGAGCTGCTGTGCAGACATAGTGCAGGGTATTTAATGCTTTTGTCTTTTTCTAGAAAAAGGGCTGAGCTCTGAATCAAGCTGAATTTATCACTCTTTCTAATTTGGTTGATGATTATTATGTGTTAAATTACAGCTTCAAATATTTCAGATCAGTAATTGACTTTGTGTTAATGTTAAGCAGCTTGAACTGTTGGGTTCCTCGTCGACCTCGGATCAAATCAGCCTCAGGGTCAGAGCTGAAATTAGTTAACAGATTAGTTGATTGAATGAGAACAATTTCCAACTATTTTGATAATGGTATAACTGTTATGTCAATTTAAAGCACAAATACCAAAGATTCTCTTATTTCAGCATCTTAAATGTCAGCATCTGCTGCTTTTATCATTTCATATCATTATAAATGGAATATCTGCAGGTTCTGAACTGCTGATTTGATGAAACAAGAGGCCCAAAGATGTCATGTCTTTGTGACTTTAGCAGGTGTTTTTCATAATTTTCTGACAGTCTACAGAGCAAACAATAAATCAGCTGATCAAGAAAATAATCAGTTGATTAGTTGATAATGAAAATAATCATGGCCTGCAGCTCTACCCAGAGTTACTGACAAATGAACTCAAGCTTGAATCTTCAGTTTGAAGTAGAAAGAACAATCAGATGGCCTTACCCTGGTTGAGCAGCAGAGCTGGAAACAAAGCAGGGGGGTGGAGGTGGACAAGAAAAGACAGCCGTAAGTAATAACACACAATCAAAAACTCATAATACACTGAACTGCAAACACAAAGTCACAGATACTCACAGAAACAATTGGATAAAAGCTCCAGTCACTCCATGTTGTTAGACCTGTGTTTATTTCATCTTTTTCACTTAATCTCACCACAAACAAATAATCAGTTTATCTCCTGCTCCCTCTGTTTTTATAGTTACCATTAAGAAAAGCCTCCTCTCTTATCCCTCCATCTCACAGCTACTAGAGCTTTTATAACCTCCAAGTTGACTGTGGTGAATGTTTCTGTGATGCTACTGCCTGAGAATGTGAGATTCAGAAAAACAGTCCTCTCTCTTTCTCTTTTCCCACATTTTAAAAGAAAAAGAAGGCGACTAATGAATTCGTAGATGTTTGTCTGTGTCTGTGATGAAGCTTTATTGATCCTGCCGGAAAGATGGTTCAGTGATGCAGCAAAAGAGCAGAACAAACTAAAGACAAGAAGGAAAGAACAGGCTGTCGCAGCAGAGGCAGCACAGCAACTACAGAATGTTAGCACATAAATATGCTGTGGTTTGGATGATGTATTTAGATTTGCTGTTTATCGGTGCTTCTTTAAATGTCCACATAGACACAGGGAGAACCTGAGCACCTGATTCCCTAAACCTGCCTCCTCACCTGTTCCCCATTCTGCTGCCAGCTTCCCCCTGCTTATACCGGCCCAGTTTATCTCACTTCTTGCAGATTGTCAGTTCCTGTTTCTGATTTGGTTCCTACTATCTGTACCGGTGTTGTGGTCTTTCTGCCTGCTCACTAGTGATGGCAAAACGAGCCTTTTCTGAAGCAGTGAGGCTTTGCAGTCAGCCGTAGCATCAAGAGATTCATTACTCAAAAACTCATTTTACTTGAAGCTCACTGGTGACGCCTACTGTTAAAGGTAATAAAGCATAAAGTTAGTTGGCACTGGTTTTATACTGGATGCCCTTTCTGACACAACCTTCCCATTTTATGTGGCTTGGGACTGGCACGAGCTCATGGTTCCCCCTCCAGACACAAACCAGGCCTGACCCTGCTTAAAAATGGAGCCTGCAATAAAAAGGAAATCACATTTTGAATTTAATATTGTAAACGTTAAAGGGGAGCCACCCTGCCCTGGCTGTGCCTGCTCTCCTCTGATTGTGGGGGTTAATCTCACTGTCAAGAGCTGAATCAAACAAGAGTGAAAAACTGCACCAAATCCCCAGTGCCGAACTTAGCGTACTGGCAGTCTCGGCAAACAACCATCACCAAACATTCATGGGTCTCAGTCCCTGTATCCACAAATCAATAATCAAAGCATTTACATCATTCAGTGAGAAAGTGAAGCCTCGTTTGTCAGCGCTCCTGCCTTATCATACATAAATACAGCTGTTTATTCAGATGAGGAAACAGATGCTTTTTGACTGCATTTGGTTGTGACAGCGTTTTGTTACTCCACATCTTCTCTGTCATCATTTTAAATCTTGCAGCTCAGCTCCTATATTGTTTAATGTCGCAATCATAAAATTGTTTTTATCATAAAATGTATCAAAGATTTTTCATCTGGGGCTCATAAGCTTGACTATATATTTGAACAGTCTCCCTCCCTCTGTGTCTTTTATCCTTTCCTACCTACAAACACAAGTCTGCTGTTTATGTGTGATGACAACACCATACACAAATGAACCACATCATTAAAAATATATTAACGATCAATAAATGCAGACAGTTGTATACATTAAACTGCTGTTGCCTCACAACCTTATGAGACTTATGATAAAGACTTTATGATAATTGGCAGAAGAAAACAATCTTGTATTAACGAACCTGAGATTCCTCTCTTCAGCCAGCGTGGCTCCTCCAACACAATGAAGAAGTTTTCATGTTTCTCATATTCTTCATCATCGATTATCCTCACCTGGAGAGTCTGACTGTAAAAACACAGATGAAATAAAGAATTTCATCAAAAGGTAATCTAGCGCTCGCAGGGCCATCGCCACGGGTCGTCTCTGTTATCGTGGACCTCACACACTAACACACACAGGATCAATGATTCAGTCAGAAGGCTGGTTTTTGTTGGATCTTGCCTTGATGAGATTTAAATATGTGCTGGTTTTCTACATAAAGGAAATACCACTGTCACTGTGGCTGCATCTCAAATCTCTATGATTGTTCCTCAATCCTCACTAAACCTGGAGGTCATTCTGGTCAAACGAGGATTGAGAATGTGCCGAGGCTCTTATGTCAAATGAGGATACATAAGGAAATCCTTTGCAAAAGTCTTTTGTAGACCAACACACCCCTTTATCGGAAATCAGTTGGTGATCGGATGCTTCGAATGAAGGATCTGAGGAAACGACATCTTGTTTCTAAAAATGTTTCCGCAATTCCTCACTCCTCTGAATTTTTCTTTGCATCTTATGTGGGCGGGACTAAGATGGAAGGAAAAGGCACAAGTGAGGGAAATAGATAAGAGACTTGAGGTGTAGCCCACAAATACTGTTGGGCCATAGTAATGCTGCACAGTATGGGACCCTCACTTTATTCGTATTTGCTCACATACATTGTTAGTGCCCGTTCAATAAGATGAACATCACATGCATTCAATTGTCTTCTGTGCGTGCTTATCCTTGTGGCATATTGTCACCTTTTAAACTAATATTATGAACTTCTTAGCAAAGAATTGCTTACATTCAGCAGTGACAGATCATCAAAATCATTCATGAGCAGTGGTGTTTGTGTCCACCCAAGGAATCCAATGTTCACTATCTCTTACAGCTCAGTTTTTGGTCTCCACCACCTCCTGAGGGAAATATGCATCTGTCTCTTTAGCTGCTAGCACTCCATTGTGTTCACCAGGCTAGTTTCTGACCGTGTCTGTCTGCTGTTTGCTGCTGACCAGTTAGTGGGCAGTGGCTTTTTAGAGTGTCTTCTCTGAAAACAGCTGCTTCCTGCTGCAGACAAAGCAGTGACACTGCACAAAGACGACCAAGTTGTAGCTAGACACTAAACAATGGGCTGAAACTTACTGTAAAGCTCCATGAAGCCAAGCAGACCTGCAGATTCAGCTCATTATTCTCTACAGATTCATCACTTTCCAAAATATTTTCCACACAGTCACATTGTTGCCACACTTTCACATATAAATGTGTCGATTACAGCTGGTTTAAATACAAGAAAACAGAAAAAAACCATCCATCCATCATCAATACGACTTCTCCTGAGGAGGCTGGAACCAACCCCAGCTGACACTGGGTGAGAGGCGGGGTCCACCCTGAAAAAAACAGTCTGAAACTTTCCACTGGATAAATTAAATTTACAAAAAATAAAAACAAAAGAGATTAATTTGGTGAGATCATGCAATGACACTGAGGAGACAATGAGTGCAGTACTGAAAGAAAAGAAAAAGAAAAGGTACGTCAGGCACGGTGTTATGCCATCATGATGGACATTTGTGCACAGGATGAGCAATTATGGTTTGGTATTAGGAGACAAAGTCAAGATGATGTGATGCTGATAAGACCTGTTAGTGTCTCGGAGGAATGAAATGTCAGCACACAAACCAGCTCAGTGAGAGCAGAGGAAAATCTACAGTGACAACTGACAGAGAGGGAGAGAAAGAAAATGAAGGATGGAGAGAAGAGGATAGAAGGTGGAGGAAGAGTAGGGAGAAAATGGAACATGTAGGGAAGCATTTGGGATGTCTGCTACTGGCAGAAGGAACAAGGGAGGGATGTCTGAAGAATGAGAAAGGTATATTGGAAAAGGGTGCATAATAATAATAGAAGGAGCTCTGAAGCAGAAAATGACAATAAAAAGGAATCAGATGGGGAGATGAGGTGAATAATGACACCTCATATTGGGAGAATTACAGCAGACACTGCTGAATGTTTTAAAGTATTGACACCAACGTAGGGGCTTCAATTAAAAGTCTTCCAGGCCACCAGGACTCATTTCAAACATCCAGCCAACAAGGAGCGCTGGGCAGCTAAAAGTCTGAAACAGTAGCTGCCAGTGTGAAGACAGAAGTCATCACAGCAGCAGCTGTTTTATCTTTGGTCGTGATAACCTCGATGCAAACAGCCGAATTAGTGTTCACATTACAAACTGATCCGCATGTTAAACTCTTTTTTGCTGTATAATGCTGCACAAGAGCGTCACATATTGAAAATGTGTCAGAGGCTGTTTGTGAGATACCGAGTTTATGTGTAACCAAGTGTAAAAATCATTTTCTCTGTTGTGTTTTTAACAGTGTGTTTTACATGCTCAGTTTTGTTCCGATGACTTCTAGGGAATTAAATGTGCAAACTAATAAAGGACAAATGAGAACATAGGAAACCCAGCGTCCTGGCAGCATGTCTGAGCCCACAAACAAAGCTCCAGGTTCCAGAAAGACTGAAGGACGGAGACAGACGTGTCCATCTCCAGCTGGAGATCAATCCCAGAAGAAGTCTTTATAATGATTCTGTGTCTAAGAGGAGCCAAACTGCTCTCCTGAGGAGGGAGCCTCCTCGCCAGACAAAGACAGAGAGGTACTCTGAGCTGGTGGCAGAGGCATGAAGTAGTGCGGAACTGCAGTCACAGCAGTTTTCATAGTTAGAGTTGGAAGCTTGTCAATGCATCATTACTAATCAAGGACCTTGGTGTTGTCAGAGAGAAGGCAAAGAAGGGCGCAAGAGGCAGAGATGTCAGAAAGAAGCAGCTTGTTGCTGCAGATGAGGTGAAAAGATGACAAAACTGTCAGTCCAGCAGTAGAAGTGTTCCAGGTATCTGGTTTGAGGCTCTGCGTGAAGGTGATACATATTCAGACCCGCTGGCAGGGCCATTATTAAACTGGGAGAACAAATTGGAATAAATTTCCCCCTGTGCCACCTCATTCACTTCTCTGTCAGTCAGTGAACACCCTAGATCAGAGGTCCTGGAATCAGTGTCCCACAAGTCTATTTGAGTTTGTCACATGTGCTACGCAACCATGAAGCCAGGCCTCTGAACCTCACCAGTGTCACTCGCAGATGAATTTGACAGCTAATCATTTGGTAGAGTCAGTCAGAAGTCCACCACAGTCGGTATGGATATCTACACAAAATGTCCTGATAATCCAGAAATAGTTGTATATAATATTTTAGTCAGGACTAATGGGTTGGTTCAACGGAGCAATTAAGCTAACAGGGGTAAAAGAAGCTTAATCACACATAACCTGACTGTTTAGCCCAAGTTTCAAATTTAAGTGGGTTTCACTTCACACCTGGATAGCTCCCTTCATTCACACCTAACTTTACTCCAAAAGCTACATAAACTCGTTACATCCACATTGCAATCATCCGGCTATTAGTGGTTCCAGCACTTGAGCACACTGCTACACTCAAACACACCGTGCACACACACTGAGCGAGGACTGAATGTGAACCTGCTGGGCCTCCCCTCAGCTCTGTTGTCTGGAAAGCACAGAGGTGAAGGAGGAGAGCTGAGAGGGAAGAGGAGAGAAAAGGAAAAGATAACAGGTGAGAGTAGGGAGGGGAAAGGTGAAGAGGGGAGGTGAGGATTAAGACGGGAGAGGGATAAAGAAAGAACAAGATGGTGATGAGGGCACAAAAACAAAAGCTGCTCTTCTTCTCTCTCTTCTCCTAGTGCTCTCATTGTATATTATTTCTACAGACAAATTTCCCAAAGCATGAAGAGGTGAATGCTTGTTTTCTACTCAATGCAAATGTATTTTTGAACTCATGTTCAAAGGTTGTACCAAGGTTCTCAGAGATACAAAGTAGTAGGAAATCATGTCCAATCTACTTTTCAGGAAAAATAAAAGTGTAAAAACACTGGGTTCAGTCGAACTTACGTGGTCTGGTCGTTGGTGAACTCCAGCTCCCCTCGGGTGTCCTCGTAGTCTTCTCCAGCCTTGGCAGTGCCGGGCTCAGTGTGGTACTGCAGGATGACAGTACCGCGGGCACCTGAGTTGCGTACTACCGTCACCTCCATGGTGCCCACGCTCTCGCTCACGCGCACCATGTGATCACTGAACGTGAAGATGCCAGCGTGGTCGTCATCCAGGATGGTCACCGTGGAGACTAGGGGCTCAACCAAGCGGCCTTTGGGGGTGGCACCCACTTCATCGCTCTCAAACATCCCCTCTGCATCCCCAACACGCAGATTCAGCAAGCGCACAAAGAAGTGCTCATCCTCTTCGAATATGTCGTCATCGATTATACCGACCTAGACACACATATGGAGAGACACATTATCTTCTGGCACAAATGATCAGAAGACACTTGATCAACTATGGTGAGACACCAGCTGTAAAGCTTCTTAAATTTCTATACACAAGCAATAATTCACAAAGAGATGCCCTGCTGTACAAACATAACAAGGTGGAGGAAAATATTACAGCAAAGGTGTGATACGTGAGAAGGCAAGTGAGAACAGGGTAAAAGGATGAAACAAAGATGTGACTGGGCTCCAAGTTGGCATCAACGTCAATAGTTTTTGATGATAAATTATTTAAATCTTGGCATGCATGATGTATATGATGCAGAATCCTTTTAGTCAAAGAAAAAACTGAGCTCAGGAGATTTTATTTTACATGAGCTGAAAACCAATGGCTTCCTTTAGAAGAAGCTACTAGAAAAAAGATCTCAGACTTTTGGGATTATTATGTGCAATGCAGCTCTGGATATAAAGTGATTTGACACTCAGCCTGTGTGGCTGTGTGTGTAGTGTTTGTGTGTGGATGATGCTGACAGCAGGCGGTCAGACGCACCAACACAGGCTCAGGTTACAGCAGTCCTCTCTATGAGGCTGTTATTGTCTGATCAGGCCACCGCACATTAACCGACAGGTGGGCGCTACCAAATCAGATTAGGTCAGCGGTGTAATCCAATGAGCCAGACCCCATCGCGCCATGTTCAGACGTATTCAGAACAGAGCGATGCATCATGGAGGAGCAAAGAGGGCGACTGTGATTCCTGGTAAACGTTTCAACAGTCGAGCCATTAGGACGAGGAGAAGAGCTGTTCCTTCAGACTACAGTAACAGATTTTTTGGCGTCCTGGGGACACACTGAGAATCTAATACTGACATATCACCATTTTTGTGGGAAGCTTGGTAGCAAACAGTTTATTCATTCATCGGGAGACACGTGCACGCCCACCTGATGAAAACCAGTATTCACTCTCTTTTAGCTGCGTTTGGTCCCCACACCAACACAGTGGAACATCCAGCTCTTCAGCTGCTGAATCCTCCAACATGCAATGGACAATCTCCTGTAAACCAAAGTCTCCATCCAAGAGCTCAGGGTTGCTTTATTACACAGGAAGCAGAGCTTTTGTTACTGGCTTCAAAGAACAACATAAGTAAATAAATTCTAAAGTTGTGATGTAGTTCATTCAACAGCTCATCCTCAGTGTACAACGGTACTAGTGTCTCTACAGGCGTTCATACAAAACCGGTAAACATCTGCATACCGTGTGTTCTCCCGATCTCCAGGCAATGCTCCTCTCCCTGCTACTTCCTGTGGGAATCCAAGTCTCTGACATCTCTCAAATGAACCAGAAACAGTTCATCTTCATCTCACAAGTCTTGGAAACACCACACATGATGGACGTATAAACATTTAACATCCCAATGAAACTCCCTTCATTTTGTTGTCAGAACTCTTATGCATTCTATACTGTTAATAGTTATTTTTATGATAGAAGGAAAAACATAGGGCTTTAGGGAAATACCCTTTTCCTCTCAGCTGAGTGGATGTTTGATTGGCAGCGCCTGGCAGGCTGTCAGTGTCGTGTTACACTGTAGGGAGCCAGAGACAAACTAAACAAACACGGCTGACAGCATGCTATTAACAGTAGGAGGGGAAGGAGCGTGGCAGCATCTAAATGGACCCATGGAGGGATTATATAAACTGTAGAACCAACATTAGTGTGTCTTTACAGTTGTTCTGTGTCTTTTTATGGCAGTTTGCATCTCATTTTGATAGTTGTGTGTCCCTTTCTGTCTCTTGATGATATTTGGTCTCTTTGTAGTTGTGTGTTGTGTTGTAATGGATGAAAACGATGCCTAAACCTAGTCACATGCAGGACTGAGGATGTGAACTGGTGTCCTTTACTTTCCACACCCTCCGTTCACGCTGACCGCCTACAACTCCTGTGGTGTGAAATCACAGCACTTCCTGTATTGGAAACCACACGAACACTTTAAGCTTCTTTAGGCTTTTCAGTTTGTATCCACTTCTATTAGCACAGAAGCTGTTAATTTAGTTTAAATATCACAGAATAAAAATTACTTGTCAGAACGTCAGAGCAGCTCTACCATGCCCGAAAGCAGTCTGTATGTACCTGTAAGCCAGTGACACGTTGTGGCCTGGGACCTGGTCTGTGGTGCAGTGCTGCTTCTCTGAGCCCACAGTGTCTAAATGTCTTCTCTTTCTCTCTGCCTTTCACCCACCTTAATCTCTTTGCGAGTCTCCCCGGGTTTGAACACCAACGTTCCTTCGCAGTACTGGTAATCTGACCCAGCGTTGGCTGAACCGTCTTCTGTCCTGTAGTCCACATAGAAGGTGCTCTCTCCTAGACCCCCTAAACAAATAACATCTATCATATAAACACATGCATGACCATGTATCTGTGGATGAAAGCTTGGACCAAACCAGCTGTGATGTTTTATAACCCAGTCAGAGTTCTGCATCCCAGTAAAACTGAGCTCTGAGCTAAAGTAAACGTGTTTCACATAATCATGGGAAAATTATTGCTGGAAATTTCCTGCAGTTAAACTCTGTTGTAGGTCAGAAAAGTGCAGCTCAGACTGTGCAAGGCTTCACCAGAATACAAATAAAGTAGCCATCACTGTTACTCAGAACTTATCTCAGACATGTATCCTTGAAAAACTAAAGCACCAACCAGGGTTAACATGGGTTTGGCTGTTTGACATGGAGAGGGTTAAAAGCAGCCAGAGGACTCAGACTGGATCCAGATGCTACATTAAATGGGTGGAAATGATCAGGCCATGGTTTCTTTAAAGAGCAGGCTGGTGTGTGCAAATAAGTCCCCACACTGCAGATATGGTTACAGAGAAACTAGCACAGTAGTTCAAATGTAAGCAGAAGAGGAACATTTTAGACTTTACTGCCACACCAGTCTCTTTTAGCTCAGTATGAGCTGACTGATTTCAGCACCTTGGCAGATGACAGCCAGCGTCACGACGCCACAGTTCTCCATGCACTGACTGTGGCTGCTTTCAAATGAGATTCGGCTGCATATCGCCAGATCGTCTTCTTCTGGAGCTTCCTCATCGGTCACGGCTGTACGGCGGGCATGGTCGGCGGCGTGCCTCTTCAGGACATTACCAGCCCCGATCATCATACGAGTCGCCTTGACGGGGGACAGAAAGGAGGGCGAGTTAAACTAGCCAACATCCTTTAGATTTGTTGTAATGTTTCAAACTTTCACATCAAGACTGGCACAAATTTCTTAAATGTGTCATGGCATAAAAAATAAAACCTAGTGTTTAAAGTTTTATTCATGCTCATAAACTATTTGTCTGTCATCCTCCTTCATTCTGAGTTGAACCTGAAATGAAGGACTTCAGTCCTGGAACCACTTCATGTCCTGCTGTAGGTCTGTACAGCCTTGTGTGTTCACGTTGCTGTGTGTGTGTGTGTTACCTGTATGCGGTAGAAGGCTCTGCTCTTCTGTTGGTGCAGCAGTGCGTAGTAGTTGGCCAGCTCCACCAGCTGGTCCAGGTCTTTGTCAGGATATTTCTGCTTCAGCTCCTTCAAAATACGAATCACCTGGAGGAGAGAGGACACGCTCGTGATCAGAATATCTACACACACTGACAACATGCACAGCTGATCACACAAACTGACTGCTGAAGAGTTCGGTCCTGCAGGTAGACCAGAGGAATTCTGGCTTCAGCTTTGAGCTCAACATCAAATCACTGCCTCACCTCCTAAAACGCTGGAACCTTACTGTCAGATAATAACCGCTAATCAAGATGAAATTTTATGGATCATCTTTGAAGCACTTCCTAGTCTAGTTTCTAGACGGGGGTCCTCAGACAGGACCCTTCTGACTGGTCCTGAATCCTGATTCAGAACTAAAGGAGACCAGGCTTTTGCAGTCAGGGCCCCTCAGCTTTGGATTTGAGACCTGAGGATTCAGTGACGCCTTTTTAATTAGTGGCATACTGTTTTAATTTCTAGCCTTGTTTTATGTTTTTATTACTCTGATGTTTCTGTTGTTTTGTTGTGTTTAGAGTCATTTTCATTTTGTTTTATTACATTTTTATTACAGGTCTAATTTACTGCCTCATTGCAGTTTTTGTGTTGGACACATTTTTTGAAAAGTGCTGTATAAATAAAGTTATTATTGTTATTATTGTTGTTATTGCCATGTTTTAGTTCCTGTTGAACAATGGCTTGGTTTCATATGCAGATTGAAAAAACTGCTGAAAACATTTCCAAACCTTTTCAATGCAGTGTGTCCACAAGCTTTGAAACCAATTTCATCCTTTGACCTACCACAGGGAAGTGACTCATTTAATTCATCAGAGCATTAGGATGTTATGTGCAGGGTTGCATTAAATGCAATGCATGTAAGTTTGTTAAGAAATGCACTTTAGTTGAAAACATAAATTCAGATATTTTTTCATTCATTTTATTGACATCAATAAAAACATCGAGGAAGCATCAGAATTTGAAGATGATTCAAACGCCTGGTAAATATGATTCTCTGCATGAATTATAAACAAATCATTCATTCGTTTGTTTTCTCTGCTCCATTTAAGAATCTTCAGAATCAGAACTGAAGCAGAAGGTAGAAGGAGTATTTTCTGAGTTAAGAATGTGAAAGTGTGAAATTTGAATGAATTTTTTTCAGGGCTTCTGAACGATGTGCTGAAAAAGAGGGAGACGTGTGTGTGTGTGTGTGTGTGTGTATGTGTGTGAGTTTCACAGTAAGCAGGTCTCGGCTGCTGATGTGAGAGCAGCTGAAAAGCCCTTCAAAGTGTCACAGCTTCAGTTCAGAGACAGACCTGCCCTCACATCCCAGCTCCTGCCTACACAGTCGCACTCTGCAGAGGTGGAGAGCACTCAGTGTTTGTTAATGGCATTCAGCAGGCAGAGGATGCTGAACCTCCAGCACAGTAGGGTTTATGTTTGGTGCTCAAGACAATTCAGTAATTAACCTTTTTCAAGTGAATGTCTAAGAGCAGAAGACGTGTCAACATAACAGCAGAAGCCTGACGAATGAAAACAGTGTGACTCGTGTGTCCTTCTCATTTAGTTGTTTTGAATGTTCCCCCTCAGTGCCTCACCTCTCCTCAACTTTTCTGACCCTCATCACTATATTTCCATCTTGGCCAAACATCCCAGTCTCATTTCTCTGTCCTGCATCACCTCTTGTCTCATTCCCCTCCTTCTCCTGTCCCATAGTAAGAGTTTCTAATCTTTTTATAGGATCTTATTAACAGGTGCAAATGAGTGTAAATGCTACTAATGTAAAACTTTGGGGGCTGTGCTAATTGGCTCCAGTTTATTTCCTACAATGTTGCTTTGTTCTGTATGTAATTGGCTCCAGTTTATTTCCTACAATGCTGCTTTGTTCTATGTGAGACCAAGTTTGTTGGAAACCTTTGACCTTTGTTCTCAGTAGTTAAGTTTACACAGACAACAGAGATTACTGTCTCCTACAGGGAAATGATCCACTATACGTGTCATTAGTACAGCAGATCCCTGTGAAATCCACAGGGTCTCACATGTAACCTTATAAATACTTCACTGCAGTAAAATCACAGTGTGTTTATGGTGAAACTGATCGCAGTCCTCCAGAGCGCACAGCCACTTTATCTGCAGCTACAGCTGCTTTTGGAGCTGACCAGACCACAATAAAATACAATAACAACATACGGTAGTAACAAAGGTACGTCTGTGTGAAGCTTGTTGGTTTGAACAAACTGTGACTTAACAGTGACAGCAGCCACAGTGACTCTACCTGCTGCCTAACGGGATTAACAGAGGCGCATGCAGGATGTTTGTCATTTATCTTGACTCATGAGCTGCTTTCATATGATATTATGTGTAATTTTTAAGGTGGATTTGGATTCCAAACACCAGCTGCTCTGGCTGTGTCCTGTAAGTAGGCTACAGATGGTTCGACTTGATGCGCGCCAACACTGTTTGACCAAATTCATATAGCCACATACTAAGAAGACGTTAGTTTTTCCTATTTAAAAGTTATCTTCATGATACACAATACATTATTCAGAGAGAATTTCAGCAGATCAGTTGTATCCCGCCTTTAACGCAGGATATTGTTTTGTGGAAACTGAAACACCAACATGGAGGCTGAGATGAGGTTGGAGTCACCTGGCTGAAGTCTGCAGAGTCAAACCAAAGGCCAAACACAGACACTGTGTCTATGTGAATAGATTTATAGAACTGATTTTTGAAGCTGACATCGTGTTTCTTATCAAATATCGTCTTTTCCTCAACACTTCTCTCCCTCTCTCACCTCTTTGCGGCTGTCGTCCAGCTCCTTGCTGCTCTCCACGTTGACCATTGCGCTGTTGGAGTTGGGCAGGTTGCCCCCGGGTCCTGTTGCCATGGCTCCCGCTGTCGCACCAATGTTGTTGGCTGCGGCGCCTGCTGTGCCATCCTGGGCCCCAGCACAGTTCTCGGTGGGTACCACGGTGCTCCCTTGTGGATGGACCTTGCCGTCTATGATCATCTCCATTCTGCCCTTGTTGGGTGTCAAGTCTCCCTCGGTCTCCACGACGATGCCGTGGCGCTTGTCGGCACGGTAACGCTTGCCCATGTACTTGTAGAAGAGCAGGCGGCGGTCAGCGACCCAAGCCAGTATGACACACACTGGGAAGTACAGCAGGGTCACCACGGCCTCCCACACCTCAAACACACACACACACACACACACACACACACACACACACACACACACACACACACACACACACACACACTCTAATTATCTTTGCTTTGTCAGGTATTTGATTACAGACCAACCTACCCTGTAGGTATACAAGACTGGATGCAGGTGCAAGTGCAAACTATGGACACATAAAAATAATTCTAGCGAGATCAAGGATGAAGACATTATGTGTGGTATCAGCAGGTGGTGCTAGGGGAGCCTTAAAAACAGCCCATCACATCAGCTCATCCCCTTTAAACACTGAAGACAGTTTAATGAGCTGGAGGAGCGTCCAGGCCGACTTCTCCAGGGAGAACACTGATACTGTCCTGAAGGAAAACAGCAGGACACAAATGCAAAGCAAACAGCAGCATGGGAAGCTTTAAAGGGCAGATTATGTTCATTTTTGAGACAAACTTATATTTCTGAAGAAATGTTGGGCTGAATTTGTTTGGCCAGGGTACAATGCAACATGTAACTCCGTTATTACAGTTTCTAATATTTCTTCAGTTGATTCTAAATAGCTGAGGTTCATTTTCTACCAGTGAACTGACTCATGGCTGCAGCTCTAGGTCACTGAATGGCTTCATGAGGACGACACAGTGGGTTGGACACAGTGGGTTGGACACAACGAGTTGGACACAGCGAGTTGGACACAGTGAGTTGGACACAGCGGGTCGGACACAGCGGGTTGGACACAACGAGTTGGACACAGCGGGTCGGACACAGTGAGGGGATCTGGTCTGGAAGGAGGAGGTTTCCTCCTCCAACAGAGGAGACCTGACAAAGCTCTGGAGACTCGGTCCTGGCGAGGCCCTGCTGGTCACTGTATGATAGTCTCTCCCTTCACTTGTCACTCAGCTGCAGTATTTGAGTGTGGGTGTATTTTTATAAATCTTTGCTCTTGCTGCCTTTGCTCTGATTGTACTGATGAACAGCACAACTCATTCTGTCCCTCCTCATTTTTTCAAAACCACACTGAGTCTGTCTCACCTCCACGACGCCCGGCGATATGACGGACAGGATGAGGTAAAGCCAGATGTAGGCGAAGATGCTCCAGAAGGCGGTGATGAAGAACACCCTGAGGTGTTTGATCTTGCGGCTCTGGTCTTTGGGGATCGTCCACACACAGATCCCGATGATCACAAACATGTTGAAGGCAGCGCTGCCAACGATGGTTCCCGGTCCCAGCTCACCAGCCTCAAAGTTGTGACCACACACCTGGAGAGAGATGTGTGGAGACAGGTACTGATGACTAACATCCTAACAAACAAGACAGTGAGAGCTGTTTTTCTAATGTAATTTAAATATCACTCAGCTCAACTTGCTGCCAAATGAGAAGTCATTATGTGTTAAAGTGTTGTGCAAAATGATTGCTCCTCTTTGAAAAGAACTGTCTCATGTCTATTTTGAATTAACAACATGCCCTTTGCTGATTAATCTCAGTATTATGCACCGCAGAAAAGAAATGAAGCATTTCATGAAGATGGAAGGAGCCAGAAAGTGGAGGAGAGAGAGAGGAGGAGCAGTGTGTGTGTGTGTGTGTGTGTGTACCTCGATAACAGACAGCAGTATCTCCGGAGCGCTGGAGCCCAGAGCCATGAGCGTCAGATTGGACACAGTTTCATTCCAGATTCGAACTGTGGCCATGGATGTTTCCCCGTTAGGCATTGTGATGGTCACCTCCTTTTCCTGTCAGTCCACACACACACACACACACACACACACACACACACCACGCTGGTGTTACTGTACTTGTTTGGACTAACTGTACATGAATTCCCTGGATGAAATCTATAAGCAAACTTGACTTTCCCTGCACATGTGGCTCCAGTTTGCTGGCTGGTCACTGCTCAGGCTGTGCAGGGATGGAAACAGGTCACTGGATTCACTGAATTAGTTAATATGATGTCTGGGTAATCTGTCCTGCTCTAACAGGTGCCAGAAACAGGAGAGTGGGGACACTACTCCTAAGAAAATCCCTGTGAGTGGACAGGAGCAGGAACAACATGACTGGAACAAACAAAAGACAAACAGCAGCTGGAATGCCCCAAACGCAGCAGACAAACTGTAACTTCACCAGGAAATCACAGTCCCGGTGTTTGACAGACAGCTGAGCCACTGCAACACATCGGATCAGTGGTGAGCAAAGAAACATTAGTGTCCACTTTGAAGCTTCACATTGGTTTTAGTGCTGAAACTCTACATAAATCCCTTTGTATTTCAGGAGCTCTCCCTGAAGGACACTGTGATGGGTAGCTGAACTGAGACTGTGTCATCACAAACAGTCTCTAAACTGCTGTTCATGCTCCTCCGCACACACAGTTTGATTCCACTGTCTCAGCTGTATTTCTCACTATGTGCAGGTTATTCACTGATGCACTTTCTGACATATTTACTGTGTGTCTGCACTCAGATCAGGAAGTGGGACAAACGGGGGCACTGATAAAAGAGCTGTCACACTGATGGATTGTTAGATACACAACCCGATGTTCAGGATGTTCAGGTGGTCTTAAAAAGGACGGATGAAGCCCCTCTTTCTTCCATTAACCCTTTCCCTCTTTGCCTCTGTCTTCTATATACACTCACCAAGCAAACTATTAGGTACACGTGTACCACTGAATGCGATTTACTACAACATTATGACAGGTCTATCTCTGGGTTTCACAGGTGCACGCCCACAGGTCAGTCAGGGTTTTATAAAATAAGCCGTTCACATGATGCATCCACGTTAATGGCCATATTCTCATTATTCCTCCATTCTCTCGCTCTCACCTGTGATGTGATGACCTCTATAGATGCCATGAAGCGGTCGGCGATGATGGACACTCCCAGGAACATGTACATGAGTGACACAAAGTAGAGCACAGCTCTGGCCACCTGTTCGGCGAGCCTGGGCTGGTTGGGCTGCCAGACAGGCAGCAGGATGCCGGGCCTGCACACTGGCACGTCCTCACACTTCTCTCTGTTGGTGCTGTTACCATAAGGCATGGAGGACGGGAAGGAGGAGGGGAACACGGAGGGTGGGCTGGGGTCACCGCTGGGCTGGGACTCTGGCTGACAGGGAGGCAGTGGGAGTAGGAAGAGGAGGAGGAGGAGGACAGGGGCGGGAGAGGCGAAGAGAGACATGGCGACGGCGGGTACCCACAAGCAGCAGGAGGGAAGAGTGAAGCAGAGGATGTCGGGATTAGGCTGAGGAAGAGGGAGGTGGGAGGGGGAAGTGCTGGGCAGAGCTGACGATGGGGCAAGTAGCTCACCTACGGGTGGTGGGGGTAAAAAGAGACTGAATCAGTCTGTGACACTTTGAAAGGACCTTTAAAATCCTAACTGCATAGAACACACAACAGAGCAGACAGTGTTTATTATGAGTGCAGCTTGTTCCTCTGTGATTTTTTCTTTTACTGACAAAAAGGCAGAAGAGCAAAGAACTAATGATGTGACAGACTGAAAACAAAGTGAGTTTTAGAGGAAGCTATTAAAACAAAGTGAAAGCAAAAACAGGAGTGGACAGGAAGCAGACTAAGACCGAGAAATCTCCACCTGAGTGGAAAATGTTTCAACTTAATGTAAAACAAGTCGCTGTTCGACTCTTACATGGACGTGTTGAGAGGAGGGGACAGAAGAGGGAAACACCAGAGAGAACTGGGGCTTTAAGATCAGTCTGTCAACGATATATCACAAACATACATACAGGCACACAACAGCCGCAGCCAGCACCTGGACCACTGGAATATTGGCTGTGGCAAATATGGACTATTCCACACAAATCTAAAGAACCTAGAGAGCACATAAAGTCAAAGAATGTCAGAGCAGAAACGGCGCTGGCTGCTTGGGGCCAAAGCTGCTGTAGCACAGACGTGCTCATTATATTTTTATAGGAATCTATAGAATGTCGTGACCTGAAGGACGCTGCCTGTTTACCCTCCTGATGTCACCTCAGTATTTATAAAACCCTGGTTTTTGTTCTAGTTTCAGGAAAATGATAAAAGGTTGAGGTCAGTTTTTGCATCTCTGCTTTGGAGCTCTGCATTTTAAAAACACTGCAGTCAGAAATGAACTGCTGTTCATTGTGACAGGAACCAAGGTAAACAAGACGTTTGTTTCCAGAAGCTGCCTGCCTCCTGACTCATTTCTACTGACAGCATCTCGCCTCCGTTTCCACTGCTCATATGAGAGCAGAGATTCTCCAGTGGTCCTAGATTATTAGGTATGAATGCATTTAGCCATTTAATATTAACATAAACAAAGGAATTCTGGGAAACAAAAGTAGGTGGAAAGTGTGATTCATAGCAGATGACACTGGCACAGAATATTCATGGCAGTGAGTCACTGGTGCACAGAAAATTAGAAAAACATGCAGCAAAGAATAAGGAAAGTTAGAAGATAAGGCAGCGCTAGAAAGACAGAGCGGGGGGTCACAGGAAAGATGAACGGAAAAGAAAGAAAGAAGACAGAGAAGTGTAGAAAGGCAGCGATGGAAAGACTGAGATGGGCTGAAGGTGCAGAGACAAGAGGAAGAGATGAGTCACTATGATGGACACCTGGAAACTCGGCTGACAACATGGTGTTTGTTTGTGTCACTCTATGTGTATGTTTATTGGAGTCACACGAAACTGGGACTATTCCTCTGTGTGTATATTTAGGTTTGGGACAGGTCGTGATAAACCTTGCTCATTTGCCAAATGGTGAGATTTAAACCTCAGCGTGCAACCGAACGATAGACAGATGGACTGATCCCTGCTTCCTACATCCTAGGTGCATCTACCTCTCTCCTCCTCGCGCCATCTCTCCATTCATCTGTCCGTCTGTGAGGAGGAAGGCACCCGCTAACACCTTCTGTTTTAAAATGTTACACACTTCAGCTAATCCTACTTTATCATCACATCATGGAATGTCATAAATTTGGGGAGAGGCTCAGACATTTTCAGCTTCCTCTGCTGTAAATGCCGTCCCACATTTGAACAGTTTGTGCTGAACGTTGTGTTTCAGTCACCACGTTCAGATGAAGGACAGCAGGGTGTAAACTAATCATTTTGCAGATGACCTTTGATGACCTGTGACAAGCTCTGCCTTCCTGACACTAATCATTATTTGAGAACAACGTGCATAATACAAACATATCTAAAGGATAAAACTATTTTAAAACTTGAAGTGTGGGGTTTCTTGGTGCATTGACACTTCAGGACTTTGCCCGACACACCAGCAATAAGAAAAACCATCAACCTGCTGTTGTATAATCAGGACAATCCCAGTTTTCACAACAAACCCAGGCCGTTTCACACGTTGATGTCTCCGGTGATTAACGTGACCACCGAAGTGGAGACAATGAAGGATTTGACGAGACAAACATCACGCTTGACAAGGCAGGTATTTCAATTCTCTGTGGCTTCAGTTTGGATTTGTGTAACATGTTTATTCTCCCTGTTTGCTTCTCTGCATCGACTGTGGCCTGTGTGCAGAACAGTCCTGTCAGCACGCACGACAGGAATGAAACATCATGTTGCTGCACGTCGTATGTCCAGAAAAGGTCTGTTTGCTCTCAACAAACATCAGACAAGCATCCAGTTACCAGCTAAAGATCCTCAAGTAAAACAGAGGTAGAAGTCAAGTGGTTCTAATGAAATAAAAAAATTTAACTTTCTGAACACACAATGCATCCATCTGTTATCTATACCACTTATCCTGAAGAGGGTCGGGGGGCTGGAGCCAATCCCAGCTGACACTGGGCGAGAGGCCACACAGTGCGTTCAAACATATAAAGATATTTAAGTAAGCAAGCTCATAGGAAGGTTCATAGTTAGTTTCCTCTTCTCATTTTGAGTCCTGAACCTTAGACATTAGACTCTCTCTCTCTCTCTCTCACTTAGTGAAAAACACTTTTTCCTTCACTTAAAAAAATAATGAGCTGCTGCAGCTGCTTGTTTGTTCCTGGTGATGACATTAACCTTTAAAAACAGTCTCAAAATATACATGCTACTGGTAAAAGGCTTTAGGACACCACCATTTTCCCTGTTTTTATTTTGAAATAAAGCAGTTCAAGTCCAGTGAATAAGATAAGAGGTAAACATGCAGGGGTTAAAAAAAGGCACCAGAAACTAAAAACATAACATTTCTTATACAGTAAAAACATTCTTTTATCAGGGACCCAGTAACAGGTGAACTTCCATCTTTTCTGCAACAGTGGAAATAAATGAAGCCTTGAAAACTGATGCAAACGATTCCTACAGGTTGTTCCAACAGTTGTTGATGAGTTAGTACAAAGGCAGTGTTGGGAAAAGTCTGAGCTACTGCAGCCTCTGAAAAAAGGCCATGAATAAAGGAAGTCGGAGCTTCTCAGGGTTTCATCCTGTAGCAGGATAATGAGCCACAAACACCTTCAGGCTGTGGAGAAAAGAACAAGACGGTCGGCTTCATGTGTCGGAACGGCAGCAACGGGGTCCAGACTTTCCAGATGAAGAGTGAAAACAAGGCAGCCTGTAAGTGCAACACATCTGTGGGAACATCTGCAGCAGTGCTGTCTGTCCCAACACTGATTTCATTTGTAGAGGGAATGACACAGGTGTGTTCAGCTGTTGGATCACACTGAAAACAATTGGACTTTTCACCAGTAGTGTAGCTTCATTTAAAGTGGTTTTCTAAAGTTGGGCACAGAAGCTTTAAGCAAATGTTGTCCTACATCGTGGTGAGACCCCCATGCCACACCGCCAGAATGCAAAGAGGAAACCCAGCCACTTTGTCTAAGCTGTTCTACATCTGCCAGAGGGGAGCATTATTCCACCAGCTCTGCACTTGCTTAAACATGATTTCAGGCTCATTTTACTTCAAACCCAAGGCACTCAAAATAAGAATGAAGCTCAAAATGTTTTACAGGAATCTGCTGACACAACATAAAGGCATTTCAGCTGTGAGTCCAGGTGACAGAGGTGTGTGTGGTAAAATGTGCCGTGTGCACGCCTCTCTAAACAAAACTTTACCACACTTACCACTGCAGCGATTCAGCATTGTGTGCCAGTGTGTGTCTGTGAGTGTAAACTGGTGTCATTAGTTACATATTACCTTTTCATCCTAATGTTTAACAATCCATTTAAGCTTCTTGTTTCATTTCCCTCTGTGCTAGAGTCTCAGCCGCGCCTCCAAATTAAAAGGGATTCAACATGAAGATGAGCTGAAATGAGAGCCAAGACTAATAGACTCCGCTGTGATTCTTCCATTCACCAGCAGAACTGGATTATCTTTAGTTTGCTTAACTCACCTCGACCGCTGCCACTTTTATTCCCTTTTAGAAAATGCAGTTTGAAAGAGGTTATAATTTCACAGATGTGCTGGCTTTGAGACAGCCGAGGTGTGTGTCAGGAAGAATGATCATCCTCAAACAAGAGTTATCTGATGAGAAGACTCGAGGATGATCTGTCTGTTTTATGAGGAGATGTGTGACCTCATGCTGCTGCCTGTGTCTTTCATGTCTTTAAAAGTGCACACACTTTGCTTTTTAACTATTTGCCCAAACAGCAGGAAGTGATAGAAGGCTTTGAAGGAGAAATGAAAGGACTGGTAGTAGGGGTACGAATGAATGGTTATAGATTAAAAGAGGGAGTGGATAAGGAGTGATAGAAAAGTGGATGGGGCATAAAAGATGCAACAAGAAGTGAAAGGAGGAAAAAAAGGTGATGGAGGGGTAGAAGAAGAACTGCAGGGTTAGAAAAAGCAATTGGGTAAAGAGTGATGGAAAGAAGGAGGGGCAAAAGTGATGGAGAACATGAAAGAAATAATGGAGGGATGGGGCGCTCATCTCAACCATGTCACACAGTAGATAAATGGCATAAAGCCTTAATGAAAAAGATAAACCTGATACAGATCAGTCAAAAAGATGTGTTCATAAGCCATTTAAAAGAAAATAAAGATGTAGCTATGCAGCTTGTAAACAGTAATGCAGTCCACAGTTTAGGTGCCAGGATGCAAGGACACCTTTGTGTCCAACTTCAGGTGACAGGTGTGACAGGATGCATGGGGCGATAACCTACAAGAGGAGGAATGGGAGTGGATGATGGGGGGCACAGAGAGGGGAGGACAATCAGAACGATGCAGGGGCGACGTGGACTGGGGTCTTGAACATGCTCATAGTCATCACTCAGAGCACTGTGTCGCCATGGCAACCAGGGGACAGGTTCGGTGGCCCGATCAATCCATCCTCTCTTATCTCTGTTGATACCACCCTCACTCAGTCTGTGTATCCCCTTCCCCATCGTACCTGTCACTA